TTAGGAAACAAGGATCGGAAAAGGCTGTAGAGGGATACAAGTTAGCCAGGAAGGAATTGAAGAAAGGGCTTAGGAGAGCTGTAAGGGGGCATGAGAAAACCTTGGCAGATAGGATCAATGAAAACCCCAAGGCTTTTTACACGTATGTGCAGAACAAGAGAATGACCAGAGAAAGGGTAGGGCCGATCAAGGATTGTAAAGGGAATTTGTGTACGGAGCCTAAAGAGGTAGGAAAGGTCCTTAATGAATACTTTTCTTCAGTATTCACAACTGAGAGGGACCTAGTTGTAGGAGAGGACAGTGTGAAACAGGCTGGTCGGCTGGAGGAGGTAGATGTTAGTAAGAAAGATGTACTAGGAATTTTGAGGAACTTGAAGATAGATAAGTCCCCTGGGCTTGATGAGATTTATCCAAGGATTCTATGAGAAGTGAGGGAAGAGATCGCAGGGCCTTTGGCGATGATCGTTTCATCCTCACTGACCACGGGTATAGTGCCGGAAGATTGGAGAGTGACAAACGTCATTCCCTTGTTAAAAAAAGGAATAGGGATAGCCCAGGAAATTACAGGCCAGTTAGTCTTACTTAAGTGCTGGACAAATTACTGGAAAGGGCTCTGAGAGATAGGATTTATGATCACTTGGATAGGCACAGTTTGATTTGTGATAGTCAGCGTGGATTTGTGAGGGGTAGATCATGCCTCACAAACCTTATTGAATTCTTTGAAGAGGTGACCAAACACACAGATGAAGGTAGAGCAGTGGATGTGGTATACATGGCTTTAAGTAAGGCGTTTGATAAGGTTTCCCATGGTAGGCTCATGCAGAAAGTAAGGAGGCATGGGATAGGGGGAAATGTGGCAGATTGGATTCAGAATTGGCTGACCCTTAGAAGTCAAAGGGTGGTAGTGGATGGAAAATATTCAACATGGTGCTCAGTTACGAGTGGTGTACCACAAGGATCTGTTCTGGGTCCTCTTCTATTTGTGATTTTTGTAAATGATTTGGATGAAGGAGTGGAAGGGTGGATTGGTAAGATCGCGGACGATATGAAGGTGGGTCAAGTTTTGGATGTGTGGAGGGCTGTTCTAGGTTACAAAGAGACATTGATAGGATGCAGAGCTGGGCTGAGAAGTGGCAGATGGAGTTTAACCTTGAAAAGTGTGAAGTGATTCATTTTGGAAGGACAAATTTGAAAGCAGAATACGGGGTTAACAGAAAGATTCTTGACAGTGTGGAGGATCAGAGGGATCTTGGGGTTCATGTCCACAGTTCCCTGAAAGCTGCCAGCCAGGTAGATAGAGTTGTTAAGAAGGCGTATGGTGTGTTAGCTTTCATTAATAGAGGGATTGAGTTCAAGAGCTGTAAAGTTATGCTCCAGCTACACAAAACCTTGGTTTGGCCACATCTGGAGTATTGTGTCCAGTTCTGGTCGCCTCATTACAGGAAAGATGTGGAAGAGTTGGAAAAGGTGCAGAGGAGAATTACCAGGATGTTGCCTGGAATGGAGGGAAGATCTTACGAGGAAAGGTTGACTGAGCTAGGGCTTTTCTTTTTAGAACGATGAAGGATGAGAGGTGACTTGATAGAGGTGTACAAAATGATCAGAGGTATAGATAGAGTAGACAGCCAGAGACTTTTTTCCTAGGGTGGATGTAGCTATTACGAGGGGGCATAGTTTTAAAGTGAATGGAGGTAGATCTAGAGGAGACATCAGAGGTAGGTTCTTTACTCAGAGACTGTGAAGAAATGAAGAAGGGTCACGACCCGAAACGTCAGCTCTCCTGCTCCTCTGATGCTGCCTGGCCTGCTGTGTTCCTCCAGCTCTACACGGTGTTGTCTCAGACTCCAGCATCGGCAGTTCTTACTTTCTCTGATAAAGTGGCATAGACCCCCTCCTCCCCAGAGTTCTGTCGTTCCTTCCAAGACCTTTATTTAAATCATAAAACAAACTCATCCTAAAGAAAACACTAAAAAAAAAGAACTGCATGTACTGGATATCCAAATCAAAAACAGATATTGCTGGAGAAACTCAGCAGGTCTGGCAACAGCTATGGAGAGAAGGCAGAGTTAAAGTTTCATTTCTGGTGACCCTTCTTCAGTTGTGAGTTCTCCTGGATTTTCTGTTTTATTTCATTGAAAGGACCTTTCTGATCTGGGACACCTGTGTCCTTGATTTGCAATATTTATTTATTTAGTGAGTAGGTAAAATGTTTCCCTCTTCAATATTAGTATTTTATTGATCTGTATTTTTATTTTGATTTTTTTTTTGGTATTCATGTGACCGAGGTCTGTTGATCGACCTTGAGTCATCAACTTTGCTCTTGCGTGCGCATACACGCTGTCCGAGTTTGTGTAGCAACCTTGGGATTTCAGTGAATGCCGAGTCCTCAACTTGGTCACCCTCAAGCCTTGTATGTCTCGCATCCCAGACATGACTCCATGACACTGAGCCTAACATCAGGCCCATGTGCAGTTCGAACAACTAGGTCTCACCTGGTTCACCAGCACATTCCAGGTCCCAACTGGCTCCTGTTAGTGGCAGACCTGGGTCCCACCCAGATTATACGTTCCAGCTAAACTTATGTCTTTCAAGACCTCATAAAGGAACCTGAGGCCCAGGTCCAATGTTCAAACAAGCCTTATTAGGCCTCTGTTCCAGCAAGAAAATGGCCAGCGAATGTAAAGAAATACTCACCAAATCATTGTCTGCTTTCATCGAAGTCCAGGCAGATCTGAATCACAGCACCACTGTAAATATTAACTCTTTATTTCAATTGAAACCACATGATACTCATGTTTCCTTGTTTACCCAATCAAGTTCATATTGTTCAGATTTCACATTAGTACACATCTATATTATCCAATCATATTCAAACTAATACACGAGTATATTATCCAATCTCATCACTATATGTCCACATCTCATTCTGCTATCACGTACTTGTAACAAGAAACCTATACTGTTTATTTTATCCCCCTCAGCAGTCCTCCCTTTTGCCTTAAACAAAGAACTGTAGATGCTAGAAACCTGAAACAAAAAACAGAAGTTGCTGGAAAATCTCAACAGGTCTAGCAGCATCTATGGAAAGAAATCAGCGATAACATTTCAGTTCGAGTGACCCTTCTTTATCACCTATTTCAGAATCTCTATTGCCTATACTGCCTGTTTTCCCTTTCACACTGATAGACCTGGTTCTTGGGATTGAGGCTAGCTGAGTAGATCAAGTGAGAGTGGGAGAGCATTTAGGGTCAATGATCATTGCACCTTAAAGTTTAGGATGATGATAGAAAATGACATTGGCCAATCCAGAGTAAGAATAATCAATTGGCAGAAAGTGGACTTCAATGCAGCAAGAATAGATCGACTGGAACCAAAGTTGGCAGGATAAAAGGGAATTTGCAAGATATCTGCCAAAAAGGGCAGGGAACAGGGACTAGTGTAATTACTGTTGCATAGAGCTGGCACAGACACATTGGGTTAGAATAACTTCCTACTAAATTGTAACCATGCTACAATTCTTTCAAATGAGATTGAAAATGATGCTCTAAAGAGAAACATAGCAGTAACTGTGTACACAATTGGACTTGTAACAGAAATTTTCAATAAATTATATTTTACCATCAAAAGAAAATTACTTTATTATTATAAATGTGCATGTTTCATCTACCTCACAGTCTGCATTAGTTCTGCCTCCTCTTGTTCTCCTCAGTAACTACTTAGAGTAGAAAGGAAATGTATTTTTAATTTGACAACTAATATCTGTCTAATCAGTTGGTGCTCATTTTGACAATTTCTTATGTGCCTACCCCTCAAGTTTTAAGTTACCAAGTTAGTTTAAAGCTATGAGATTCCTTTTTTTTTGCAATAAAGATGTACAGGTCAATGTATTACTTAAAAGTGGAAATCTAGCTGTAGTTTCAAAGGAAAATGCTTCTTTTTACATTTAAAAAAGTTAGAATGTTGTATTAGTAATTCTGCATTCTGCAGAAATTTACCAAGTTCCTTAGACAGCATCTTCTGTATATGTAGAAAAGTAATTTATTCTAACATGTATTAATGAAAAATACTGTAAAATGTGCATAGGTTATCTTAATAATCTGGTGCCAATTTAATTACATAAATTATAAAGAAAATAAATAATGCATACAAAGTTAAGACAAATTTCAATAATTGTTCCAACAACAGTTTCTTGATTTCATAAGTGGCAATGGGATGTCGCCATACTCCACAGCCGTCAAAGGCTGTCCCTGAGACTAAGGAGGAAGCATATTGAAGCAGCCCCAGCCACTGTAGATCAGACCCAGAACGTCATCTCTGTGAAAGTCATAGGCTGGTGACTGTCCCATCTCTCAAGGATCGGGGCCCATTCTCAACTTCCGAGGGTAGATGGACTGTCCAAATTAACTGCCAAGGATCAAGGGATCATTCACACTGCCACTGTTGCAGAACCTGCCGAAACATAAAAGGAAAAGGACTGCAATCAATCGATGCTGGAACATCAAGCCGCGACCACCATCGCCACGAGGAATGGACTGATTTGCTGCTCAACAGTTCCCCGCAGCCGCAACAAAAAGGAACAATGAAAAAATAAAATATGAAGGAAGAAGAATGCTGTTAGTCACGCGAAGGAGTGGACCATCCCAACAACCTGAATACTGCCTACCTTGCTGCCCCTGCCAACTTGAAATGAGCAATTAATTAGATATTGGCACCTTGATTTGATATCTTATTATAAAGATAACACGTCTGACAATGTTACATTGCCTCAGCACTACACTCAAGTGTGAATCTAATCTTTGTATTCAAGTCTTGGAGTGGCAGTTCAAACCTTAATCTTATGATTTTCTATATTTGAGAAGTTTGAATAAGGGGGAATCATTGCAATGAGTGTAACGACAGATATTCTGGCAATTCAGTGGTTTTGTTTTTCTACATGAGTGTGTTTCAGAAAAAAGAGATTCTGGTCTCTTAATATCACCTGGGTATTTTTCCTATTTCAGGGTATAGCTCCTAGACTGGAGTTCTCAACAACTTCAGTAATAAAGGAATGTCCACTTGACCTTCAGCAGATACAGTGTGAGGTGAGCATTGATTAATTTTATTGCAGATAAAATTAAGCTGCTGCTTTGGTTCAATATCACCATGTGCATGACTGGTTTAATTTTATTTTATAAAATATTGACTGAGATTTTCACCATCTGTGTTCAGACTGGAGTAATTTTGAAAACATTTTGTTTCAGTTTCATAAAATATACGTCTAATCTCAAAGATTAGACAAAGCATGCAGAATCTGTATTTTATGTCGAATTACTCCAGTAATTTTACTGTAAATAGCAAAGTAGAATGGTTTTGTAATAGGTCACAATTTTGCAGTAAAAATAGGAGTGTAATAAACAACACTTAGCAAAATTCAAAAACAGTTTTTAGTGACCACACGCGAGTAGTTAGTTGTTGGAGATTTGAAATAATTTTTAAAAACATTTTCTTTCTATCTCTTTTGTCATTCTCTATAAAGCCAAAGTTTCTTTACTATTTATTTTGCTTTTTGTACCTGATTTGAGATAGAGTTCAATACTATACCTGACTCTTTCCAGTTAGTACTGAACTGGTCCTTAATGCTTCAACTAATTGGTTAGGTTGTCTTCCCTGTTCACACATCTCCCAGATACTCTCTGGATTGTACTTCTTGGATAGTAGACTGACAAGAACTTCCAGTCTAAAACTTCTCAAAATTTGCTTGCAAGTTAGTTATGTGAATAATTAAAGGTTATTTCCCACTTACTCCAAAAGCTGGCCTTATTGGTTTTATGAACTGTGCAAAAGTTGAAATCTCAATTAAGTGTATGTTCCTTTCTACATGAAGGATCTTAGCAGCTGGGATCCAGTGCTTGCTCTATGCAACAAGGATGTGCACCGATCAGCAATTGGGAATGGGTTGTACAAGAAATAAATCTGTGCATAAGCAATGGTCTACGTTAGGTGGATGAAATAACTGCACAAAGGCCAATATCCCACCGCTAAGTCGCCCTTTATTTACTTGTGTACAATACACTGGCTGTGACCAGCCAGCTCGGAGTCAGTCCCCTGAACTGCGGTGATTCTAATCTCCTGGTTACATACTTTTTCCCGGATATACTCTTTTTATTAAACTGTACAAAAATGCAAAACAAATCAAGGTAACAATCAACAAAGCAAACAACAATTTACGGGGTAAAAACTAAAAGGACTGCGGACGATGTAAATCAGGAACAAAAATAGAAGTTGCTGGAAAAGCTCAGCAGTTCGAGCAGGATCTGTGAAGAAAAAGTCAGAGTTAACATTTCAAGTCCGGTTTTGAGGAAGGGTCACCAGACCCAAAACGTTAACTCAGATTTTTAAATTGTTAACAATTTACAAGGAATTGGAGACGGTAACTGAACCCCAAATCCCACCGTAACTCGCCATACAAAGAAAAACTTTAGATAAAAGTATATATGAGGTAAATCCATACATACAAACAAGCAAACAAACAAACAATAAAAAAGCAATACATGCAACACTGACACCCTGTCAATCGGCAATCGGCCCGCCCTTACTTGACTTCTGACCACCTCTAGGACAGCCTACCCCCATGCACCTTCTGGTTCTCGGCCCATCCCGACACACCTTCCAGCTCTTAGCCCGCCCCTACTTCCCTTCCAGCCACCTGTAGGACAGCCCATCCCTATGCCTCCCCAGAATGACAGTTTTCAGGGCAACCTACTCACCATCTGACTCTCAGGGTAATATCTTTCAGAACGACCTACTCTCCGGCTCTCGGTAAGGTCTATTAGACCCAGAGACACACAAAACAATCCAAACAAAAAAGCCCGTGTCCACGCCTGAAGGCAGCAAACACACACCCTACAGCATACATACGAATACTCAGTCCATCCTTGAGGCCTGCTCTGCTTGCAGAAACACAACAGGCTCCTGAAGGCCAGGCCTACATTGGAGGATATGGACCATCCATGGAGGGCCTGTCCACCACAGAGGCCTGGTCCACCCACAGAAGCCTAGCCCACTCACGGAAACACAGTCCACTCACAAAGGTACAGCTGACTCACGGAGGCTCAGTCCAGACACAAAGTTGAAAAAAAAAAGTACAAATATTTAAAACTGTGGTGCAAGGAGCAATCCTTGCTACCGAGTCATCTTTCCTTTGGTTCCAAAAAATCAACAATGCACTGACTCTAACCAGCCAGTTGAAAAAAAAAGGAGCTCTCCACTGAGAAATACAATCTAGCAGTAACACTGGCTGTGACCCAGCCAGCCTGGAAATGGGTTCTCAAAAAAGTGAAAATGAATCCACAGTACCACTGGCTGGGCCCAGCCAGCTTGGGAATCAGTCGCCTGGATGGAGGAGAATCTATTCTCCTAGTTATCTTTTTTTGTTTCTTTTTTCTCTTTCTCCTGGTTATATACCTTTTTAAGTCTAATCTCCTGGCCTTTTTTTCCACAAAACCATCTCCTGGGTATACTCTTATTAAATTGTACAAAGATAGAAAACAAAATCAAGGTGACAGTCAACAAAGCAAACAACAATTTACAGGGAAATGGAGACAGAAAAACAAACCCCTAATCCCACCGTGCAGTTAACAAGTCAGTCAACAATTTACAGGGAAAAGGGGACAATAACCGAACCCCAAATCCCACTGTAACTCGCCATAAGAAAAACTGTAGACAAAACTTTAGATAAATCGATACAAACAAACAATAAAAAGGCAATACATGCAACACTGACCCCCTCCCCCAGGGCAAACCAACAAATCAGCCCGCCCTTGCTCGCCTTCCGACCATCTCTAGGGCAGCCTGCCCCTACGCACCATCCAGCTCTCAGCCTGCCACTACACACTTTCCAGCTCCCAGGCTGCTCCTACTCACTTTCCAGCCACCTCTAGGCTAGCCAATCCCTGTACCTCCCTGGGACGACAGCTTTCAGCATGACCAATGCACCTTCCAGCACTCGGGGTGACCTACCCACCGTCCGACTCTCGGGCTAACAGCTTTTGGGGCACCCTACGAACCTTCCAGCTCTCGGGGTGACCATCCAGCTTTTGAAACAACCTACTCCCCTTCCGGCTCTCGGTAAGGCCTGCTAGACCCAGGGACACGCAAAACACAGTACATATGAAACAATCCACACACAAAGGATTGAGTTCATGCCCAAGTCCACACCCAAGGCCACGTCCGCGCACAAAGGCCCGAGTCCACACTTGAAGGCAGCAAACACACACCTCGCAGCATACATACAAATACTCAGTCCATCCTTGAGGCCTGCTCCACTTGGAGAAACACAGCAGGATCCTGGAGGCCAGGCCTACACTCGAGGATATGGCCCACGCACGGAAGGCCTGTCCACCACAGAAGCCTAGCCCACTCACGGAAATAGCCCGCTTGCAAAGGCACAGCTGACTCGTGGAGGCTCAGTCCAGACGCAAACATGTGAAAACACATGCAAAAAGTAAAGTGCAAATACTTAAAACTGTGGTGTAAGGAGCAAGCCTTGCTACCAAGTCATCTTTGCTTCAGTTTCAAAAAATAACAATACACTGACTATAAACAGCCAGTTTAAAAAAAGCAGTTCCTTACTGAGAATTAAAATCCAGCAGTAACACTGGCTGTGACCCAGCCAGCCTGGAAATCCATTCTCAAAAAAGTGAAAAAGAACCCACTACTGCCTGTAGCCAGCCAGCTCAGAGTCGGCATTCAACTGAGGAGATTCTATTCTCCTGGTTATATTTTTTAGTTTAATCTCCTTTTTTTTCACAAAACCATCTCCTGGTTAAATTGGTCAGCCAGAGCTTTGCTGATTGGCCCAGGTTAACAACACCAAGCAAGGATCCCGCTAGTCAACAAGATCCAGCGGGTTTCAATCGCTACAGTGGACAAATTTGCAGCTGTGTATCAATCTTAAAGAGGCCAAGACAATGTAACTGACAACAGAAGCAGATGTTAGAGAGAACATTGATGAGGTTCAGTTATAATTCTTGTTAGACCACTTGTCCTCCGAATTATTTGGAGAGCAATCTGGGTGAGTTGTCAGTTGTTGACACAGAAGTGATCATTGTTTTACGCTACTGTGCTCTCTGGGAAACTTAACAGAAGATTCCTGAAATCATTGTACAATGCTTTTTTTTGTCAGAAAGTTCAATCTTGTGACAAGTTAATCCTTCGACTGTTTAGTAGTGGCCAGTTACGTCATTAATAAGATGGACAGTGGATGATTGTGTGAGAATATCACCATGGCAGCGTGGGCACCATAAATCACACTTTAAAAACTACCAAAATATGGGATAATTCAGCCCATGAAGTTCATTTGAAAAGATAGACAAATATTTTATGTCTGGCTTCGCTGCAGAAACCGCAGAAATAGTGGGAAATCTCAAATTTACTGAAAGTGAAATCCATAACGTATATAATAATATTTTAAAAATAGCAAAAGAATTAACATATATAATAATATTTTAAAAATAGCAAGAGACTTCATACAAATTAACCTAAATCAGTCATTAGGAAAACATTGGGATCAATTTTTAAGGAAGTAGGAAGGATGGGTGGTGAAAAGGAAAGCACTGCTTGTTCCAGATGACCAGCACAGGAGACTGTGCCACCAGACTAACAGTCTGGTTTGAGATAGCAGCCAGGATCAGTGCAGTGTCCTGCAATGCAATGCACAGCAGTACAGGAAGACATTTCCTTCCATGGTCAGCAAGGGTAAGCACTATTATATTCACTCTGCTACCTCATACTCACAGGGTCACCACTCATTCTCAGCCTACACTGCACATTTCTTTTATTAAGATTCTTGGATTGCATCTTTCACAATTGAATGCGTCATGTCCCCTCCGCAGCTGTCAATCGCTTCATTCTCCCAGTCTTCAAACCCTTGCTGCCTTCTCCACTTCCTACTTGCTCAATGGGGACATCTTACCATCTAATCTGTCACTGACTATCATGATTAACAGTTCTCCCACCACTTCCATCGTACTCAATCCCTCATTTCATCTCATTGTGGAGCCAAGAAGGCAAAGACCAATAGTAGGAATTAGGCTCCTTTTAC